GTCCCCTCTCTCTCTCTCTCTCTCTCTTTCTCTCTCTCTCTCTCTCTCTCTCTCTCTCTCTCTCTCTCTCTCTCTCTCTTTGATGCTTTTTTTTTATGAATGCGCGTGACCGGTACAATAGCATCCCTATTTAGCTACTGTGTAGTATAAATTTTATTCTCTTTTTATAATTTTTTATATACGTACTATACAAGAATGCTTACGCTAAGTCGCTTATACATTTAAGCGTTCGTCTTTCATTTTTGAGCTTACTCTGTTTGTAGTGAATATTGGCTTATGAAACCTATAGAAAGACTGATAATTATTTTCTACTCTCTTGCTTTTATAAAAATATCATATTAGACTGTTTTTAGATTTTTGAAATTATTACTTTAAATTGATCAGTTTTTGAAAATTTTTGACATATATTTAAAAAAAAAAAACAAGATGTACAAAATATTTTCTTGATTTATATACTTAATACTTGTCATTTTTACTACAATAATCAATAAAATTATAATATTAAAATTTTTGGTAATGATTTACATTATGGCCGACCTCACAAACTTATTATGTTTATAACTTTTTAATAAACTGCAAGCGACGGCTAAAACCTTTTGAAAGTTACTCAGGACCGTGTCTTTGATAATATATATTAAGGTCATTGAAATCTGTAAGTTCGGCTCTAATATAAATAATTATCAAACTTTTGAATATATACATTTTTGAGGAGAGTAAAAAATTTTAGTTTCAATTGTAAATTTAATAAGACGTATTAATACTTCCTGAATTATGATAAATGTGATTTTCAAGAATATTTAACATATGCAAAAGTATTTTTTCTGAAAAAAAATCTGTTTTTTTGTATCTCTATTTACCTTGTATCCTTCCGTGACAAGACCTGCGTTTCTTTTCGCCAGAATGCATTTCATTCTGAGAAGAAAGGCACGTTCCAGCTCGATCTCTCCTCGCGAATTCGGCGGCGGGAATGTAAAACCCGCGAGATCCGCGGGGCTTTGGGGAAGATTCAGCACGGAAATCATCTCGTTGCGATCATCCGGATAAATATACTCGAATATACTATTCCCTGTTAATTCCACCTGTACATACGAACAGTTATCGTAATCATCGTCAATAATTTCTGAATTAATGCAAATTTTTTTACGTAATCGCATAATAATGTAATTTTGAGCGAAAAAATTTGATTGAGAATTGCATGCAAGATATTTTTTCACATTATTTATTTATCTATTTTAATATTTTCTTGATAAAACTTTTTTTACTTTTATTTATGAAAAAATGATAGAATCAAATGCTAATATACAATAATTAAACGTAGTTGCATGGATTGCTAAAACCGCTTTTCTCGATATTACCAAAATAACATTATTAATTAATTAAATAAATGAGGGGATATCTCCCACCTGGGACAAACCTAAATGCACGCTAGCTGTCTCGCTAATGTACATAATTTTCCCGTCAGGCGCCACGACGAATATAAACCCATCCAGTGTCTGCAGTCAGAAATCATCTGTTATCACAGTTTTAATTCACAACTTGTACGCGAATGTATAATAAGTAATATAATCTCATTGCATTTTAAATCGTTAAAATTTTGCGAGCAGAAAATATTATCACGTATTCTCAACGTGAAAATTCCAGATCAATGCTAAAATTATAAATCGATAGAAATATAAATGATATTTATGTACTTGTAAAAGATGAGAGCCCAGTTCCTTAATCGCTGCCTCCAAGGGATTGTTAGGCGGCGGTGCAGCGCCCCATTCGTCTCCAAGACCTGGTAAATTTGGGTTCAATTAAAAAATGAGTTTCTTCCTTGTTATATTGAATGCAAGCATATGCCTTTTCGAAAATATATCTTTTTCTAGGCAAAATATATTGAACAACACACATTGTATCCGCCGCATACATGTTGCACTTAAAATAACTATTGTTAAATTTTCATATTAAAAATGACGGTAATAGAGTAATAGTATTTTCATAAATTATTAGTGTTCTATAAATAAAATTTTTCAAATAATTTGTCATAATTTAACAAAATATATCTTTTTTATCATTTGTTAATTTATCTATATTGTAATTTAACTTACTTTGAAAATTTTCAATGTTTATTTCAACCAAAATATCACACAATTTCCTTTTTATCTTTTATTCAATATGTATATTTATAGTGATATTTCATATATAATGTGTAATTAAATCTATGATGGCATGTGTTCTTTGTCTGCGCATTAATCACGGCGTGCATACATGCAACGGAAGCATTTTCTGTCATATATAAGACTACGGGAAATAGCTTGATTTAGCCACTCTTTTGCTGACGGATTCTCTTTTTAAGTAAAATATTCGATTTTAATTTATTTTATATAACATTTATGTTTCATAATTATAAATTGACACAGTCAATGCGTTTAATTTATTTGCTAATAAGTTATTTTACGTTAAATTTCACTGTGATATTCAGAAAAATTTCGGGAATTGCTCATATCCACGTATTATGTTCATATAAATGTAATTCAGACATTATATGTTCTGGAGTATATTTCTTTAGAGTTTGATTGTCAACTGGCATACTCCTTGGACGCATCGTCAATCTTATTTTAATACACGACACATCAGATCTTTTTTGACGATCAATATACAATAGTGTGCATTTGATAGACAGTTCGATCCACCTCAAAAGAAGAAAACGATTTCAGTCTCGATTCAAAGTTCTTCGTTATCACCGTGTTACATCGAAAATTTTATATCATTGAAATCTGATGTAACAAGTCTGGGAAACATGAAAAATAAATCTCATTTCAATGAATTTTATCAAGATTTGTCATAGGTATCGATGTTATCTTTGAATCTCTGTTGTGTTATTCGTTGAAGAGAGAAAGAGAGAAAGAGGGAGAGAGAGAGGGAGAGAGAGAGATATCGATGTTATTATGAATTAATAAATTACACACTTTCTAGAAATTAAATTACCTTTGATAATTTTTTTTTTAGATTGGTTAAAAGATTGTGGAAATCTTGTGGTAATAATCGACGGCAATCGGTCTCTTAAAAAATTTTACGCTCGCTTTTCAACAAAGCGTTCGAGGAAGCGCCCCTAAAAGCGTTGTCGTGAGGACGCCGTGTCTCTTTTTCCCGAGAATAAAGACGGGGCGATCGTTCTAGAGGGATGCAGCCACTTGAAATTCAATTCGTCGATGTCGTAAGAGGGAGAATCGAACTGGGGAAGGCCTTTGTAACACTATAACGGCCCCCATGCTTTGCTTACAAAGCGCCGAGGACTAACAATGCATTAAGTGCGCAATCACATCCATCTCATCCGATACTATTTGCTCTTTGCGCCTAAGAGACCGGTGGCTAAATTCACGAATACCAACCCTTACGGCTGGTAAAAACAAAAAGGTTACAAATGAATTCGCGGTTATTAGCGCTCAATTATTGTGGTGAGATTTGAATAGCGTAACAATATTCTGGTGAGTTTAGGTTGTTTCTGATAAGCGGATGGCATTGTAATTTACATTAATAATCATTTTTTATTTCTCTCTCTCTCTCTTTTCCTCTCTCTCTCTCTCTCTCTTTTTGCTTTTTTTATTTTTTTTATCTGCATTTTGTAATGAGTAAAAAAATACCATAAAAAGCAATTACCTTGTTATCACAAGATAACAACACACATATAACGAAATAATGAGAAATAATGTTTTATAATACGAGCTTCTTAATAATTTGCAATTTGTATTACCATGAGGGAAAACAGCTCTCATTTTGAGATAACTGGTGGTGAGTCTAATGATGCTGGCCTTATCCAATTGTGTCGTTATGGCGGCTGGAAGAGGCAGTAGCTTCGCTAGCTCTACAAATTCCTGATTTTCTTTAACGCGGCGCGATCGCGCAGCGTTCTTGCTTTTCTCTTTCATCACGATTTCCTGCGGATGTCCGGATGCGGCGAGGCTACTGATCGAATTATTATTATCGTGATGAGGATAGTGCGGGTGATGCGAGCTCAGATCCAACGTATCTGAGGAAGGGCTGCTGCCTGTAAATGGATAAAAAATAGATATTTTAATTTGCATTAATTGCACTATAAGAATAAAATGTGCAAATCATAAAATCTTGTTTTACTATACAATGACAATTCGAATATATAATTTCAGTTTTAGAAATATTATTTATTTCAGGTAAAAATGTGAGTAAATAGATAAATAAATAAATATTTATCATTGTAAATGTATTCACAAAAAAATTTGTGTGAATATATTAATATTTTTTCCAATAAGTTATAAAGATATAATATTATAATAGTAATTTTATACTGTAGAGAATATTCTGTATTAGACTACAATTAAGTAAGATTTTGTGCTGAGTTTTATATTTTGTTGAATTTTACATGGTGATTTAATGTGATATTATTAAACATTATATACACATTTTTCTTGAAATATGGTATAGCACACTAATCGTATAGCATATTAATCACATATGATCGCATACTTTCGTTATCTATTTACATTGTTAAAATTTTAAGAGTTTCGAATCTTAAAGAAGCTTTAAATTTCTGAAGTTGAAAAATAACATATTTTTTCAAATAATTTTTTATTAAACATAGGATATAATAAATATCATAGTTTCTTATTAAATTACAAAAAGAGTTTTAAAATATATAATTATTCATGATTTTCAATAATTATGCATTTCTCTCTCTCTCTCTCTCTCTCTCTCTCTCTCTCTCTCTCTATATATATATATATTGGATGATTGCATAAGTTCGTGCCCGATTTTCATAGATGGCATTAAGTTA